AGGTAGGTAGGTAGGTAGGTAGGTAGGTAGGTAGGTAGGTAGGTAGGTAGGTAGGTAGGTAGGTAGGTAGGTAAAACGGTCGGTCGGTCGGTCGGTCGGTCGGTCGGTAGGTAGGTAGGTAGGTAGGTGGGCGGGTAGGTGGGTGGCAGGCAGGCAGGCAGGCAGGCAGGCAGGCAGGCAGGCAGGCAGGCAGGCAGGTAGGTAGGTAGGTAGGTAGGTAGGTAGGTAGGTCGGAGGTAGGTAGGTAGGCAGGTAGGTAGGTAGGTAGGTAGGTAGATAGGTTGGTAGGGTTGGGTAGGGTAGGGTAGGGTAGGGTAGGGTAGGGTAGGGTAGGGTAGGGTTGGGGAAGTAGGTCGGTACGTAGGCATAAGTACAAAGTGTGTATATCCAAAATACTTTTATATACACAGATACGCATACATACAGACATATATATACATATATATATATATATATACGTTTATGGAAGCAAGCACTGACACACTTTCACAGTGTCCCGTCTTGTATGTCTATATTTATATACATAATATATATAGGTACACGTAGATACATACATGCCTACATACATACATACCTACATAGATACATACATACCTACATAGATACATACATATGTACAAACATGCGTGCAAATACACCCACACAGACAGACATACATATGATTACACGGATGCTTATCATATCTATATATATATATATATGTATATATATATATATGTACATATATATATATACATATTTATATATATATACATATATATATATATATATATATATTTGTAGGTAGTACTGATGATCCGCAGGTGCCGGCCTCGATGCACCAGCCGCAAGTGTCGACGAAGCTCGGAAGCTGAGCCTGGGCCCCGGGCTTCCAGAGGCTCCAAAACTAAATAATTAGGTTTAGGGTTTAGGGTTTAGGGCCCATTTGGAGGTTCCTTGTTATTCTTAAACTAAGGGTTTAGGGTTTAGGGGTTTAGGGTTTAGGGATCGAATGGGGTGATATAGAAGCCTAAATAGTTACCGATACTATGAATATTATGATTATTGTATAGTAACCCCCAAAACCCTGTTCTGATTATTAGGGTCGCTATATTATTCCTCAGTTTAGGGGTATTCCTTAACTAATTGACATTCCTTGACTGAGGGGTATTCCGGAATCAAGGAATAAATAGGAAACCCCAAAAAGTTGGAAGCCGGATGAAGGACAATCAGTGCTGTTCTGCCCCGTACATGACTCTTCAGGATCCCTAAACCCTAAACCCTAAACCCTAAATGAAATCAAAAGAAAGGTTTTCGTGGCATCCGCCGTCACCTTGTGGTCGACGGCAAGCCTGTTCCCTGGACCAAAACGC